GAGCCAGAGATTTTCCATGTTTGAGGTGACCAAATACTTATTTTCCACCCTAATTTACGAATAAATTCTTTACAAATCCTACCATGTGGATTCATGGATTTTTTTCACATTCTGTCTCTCACAGTTGAAGTGTACCTCTGGTGCAAATTACTGACCTCTGTCATCATTTTAAGTGGGGGAACTTGCACAATTGGTGGTTGACTAAATACTTTTTTGCCCCACTGTATGTAGATGTGTCTCTCTACATATATGTAATACTGTTGCTGTTAGTTAGCTGCAATTTTTCCAGCTTCATGAAAATTATCCTACCATCCCACGCTGTAGCTGGTAATTTAAACCCATGAGAAAAGGCTACATTTTAATTAATTTTTGCATGCTTGGCAGGTAATGCACAGGAAACCCTGGGTCATGATCAAAGGAACTATAAATGCTTATTAGAAAAAGTTAACGTCATCGATATCCACAGGGAAAGTCATAAACCATCTCCTTATTATTGCTCTCGGACACCTTTGCTTGTGTGAAATGGTGTTGTCTACAGCAGTATAAATGCTGGAAAAGCCCACGAGACCTGACTGCCTGCCCTGTTCTCAGCTGCCTTGACAGATGTCAACATGTGAACAATTGTCCTTCGGTAAAACTCCAGTGGGTTGGGTGATATGTGTCTATATATGATGTAAGCTTTGGGAAATGCAGAGTCCTTGAGAGTCTGAGGCTTTGTTTGAAAAAAAAAAGTGTTATGTTTTCTTGTGATCGCCAAACCTGGTGTAATTTTTAACATTCAAGAGGAAAAGGCTTCAAATAAAGACTAGACAGATGCAGATGACACAATAGGAATTTAACAAATTTTGCATCTAACAATCACAACATGAAAGATTACAGTTTGTGTCTATTACTGAATATTTACTTACTGCCCTCCAAAGATTTTCTATGAATTTCGCATAAATGCATTTTGAACTGCATTCTGAATCCTGCTCTCGCTTTGTGATGACCGTTTATGTGGTGTCTGTGGCAACTGTGTGTTTTGTCAGTGTCATGTCATGTGTAATGCTAGGCCCAACTTTAACTTGCATGCAATCCTCTCTTCAAATACCTGGGCCCTTTTTCAGCACAGCAATCATCAACTGGGTCTATCTAAGCCAGTGTGTGCCAGTTGTTGGTGTCTGTCTTGCAGAATTTGAGATTTTTGTTCAATGTGTCTTTATACCTCAGGAGTGGGCACCCAGAACACCTTGTACTGGAACAGAGTATATGATCCTGTACTCTTTGAAAATGAACTGGTCCAACGCTGAATGGTGTTGGAAATGTTTCTAAAAAAGTTGTCATGAGCAATGATCATTTAAACCCTGTTTTGAATTTGATCAAAGCTGAGCATTTCAGAAAAGTTCACAGAGACAGAACTTCTTTTAACACCAATTTACTAATAGCAGACCAGTTGCAGGAGACCAGTTGCCATAATTTAGAAAGCCTGATGTTGCTTTTTCTTTCTTTAGTTTTTGTCATGCAGCAGTTGTGGGAATTTCTTGTTCTATCTGAGAATTGTTTGGCTTGTTGGTAAGTCCCACAGTAATAATTTTAATATTTTATGAACTAAATTAAATTTCCTAACAACAACTAAATACATGCCTAGCAATTAAATGTTAGGCATATATTTATTTCCTGGTTGGAAATTGTTTTGCAGGTTTTCTATTAACTCGTGCACACTGTGCTGACCACTAGAGAATACTCCGCCTATATTCACGTGTCAGTGCAATTCATATCTAAAATCTGGTTTATTGCTAATTTGGTAAGCTATAGGAAAGCAAAGTCTGACATGTATAAAGTATATGTTTTTGGATGCTATTGAGGTTTACATTTAAAATATATTAAGAAAAGAGTAATAGTTTAATTTTGGCTATCTTCTAGATTTAAAATGATGGTTCAACAAATCAGATTCAAAGGTGACTGTCAAACAGCAGAGGAAAAATAGGCAGACACATTCAGACACTTTCAGCCTGGTGCACACTGACTGCACACAGTTGGTGAATGTAGAAATACAGCAGCAAGAAAGATGCTTCCTATCAAAGGGCTTTAGACTAGTGCTTTCTTTTCAAATTATGGTCCCTTAAATCATGAGACATCATAATTCAAAACACACATCCTTATTTGAAGCGTCAGAGCTCTTCTCTTCACTAAAATGAGTTGCTTTTTAAGTTGACCTTTTAGTGTCTGCCAGCAAATCTTGTGCATCATTGCAGGAAGCTGTTGGAAGCAATGGAGTGAGTCCTGACTTGATCAGACTATGTGTCTGCCAGTCTGTCTGTCTAGCAGACAGGTATATTGACTTTCATTCATAAGACATATCTCGCCGTTTGCTCAGGGTAAATGTTAGCACCATGACTATGCTTGACTGATGCTGAATATCTCTCTCAAACCATAAGTAAATAATACCCTCATGAGAAACCCTGGTTAGGTGGCTACTGGCTGTCAGTGGGGCATTCACACCTCTATTACATCTGGCAGGGCATGACACAACTCAGCCTGTTATTTACAGCTACTCACATTCTGCATGCTGTATTTCTGACAGTCTGGAAGTTCTCCAGCGTCATCCATTTCTCGGGGAAAATATGGAAACAGACAATATTTATCTACTCAATAAATTTACTTAAAGTTACCATCACTTGCTGGACAAAGAAACCATTTTTTTTCTGTACACTACCACAGTAGGTTTTAAATCAGCCAATCCAGATGTGATTGAAATGCAGATTTCAGCTTTCACTCAAAGGGTTTTACAAACATTTTCTATTAACCAGCCCAGAAACACCAAACGGACACAGACGAAACCCAAAGTGGATGATGACAGAATTATTTCTCTGGTTAAGACACACATGTTCACAAGAAGCAAATCAAGAACACTCTACAGATACATCTAGCACCTTCAGTCACTGCTGTCTACAAACAAGAGACATGGTCATGAATGGAAGTGCAATAAGGTGTAAACCATCGGTTACACTCAGGAACAGGAAGGTCAGACTAGACTTTGTCAGAAAACATCTAAACGAGCCTGCACAGGTCTAAAGCATTTTTTGACAGATGAAAGCAAAATTAATTTGGATCAGAATGATCGGAAGAGAAAAGTATGGAGAAAGGGAGAAAGAACCAAAACATAGCACATTATCTGTCACATATGTAGGTATCATTATTGAATGGGAATGAAGGGCTGCTGGTGGAACCAGGCCACTGGTATTTATTGATGATGTGACTGCTGCTAAAAGTAGCAGGATGTATTCTGAAGTGTACAGGTCTATACTCTCTGCTCAGATTCTGCCACATTCTGCAAAACTGATCAGGTTCTCAGTGCAAATGCATAACCTGAGTTTCTCAAAGAAATGAGACATTCTTCAATGGCTAAATGAGGCATGTTATTATCACCAACAACAGCAATAATAATAACAATAATCACCATCATAATCATATTGAGTATGTTAGTTTGTCTGATTCAGCCTCTGTAAATGGGGGACTGTGTAACCCATCTGTTTGTTTTTTATATCCTCTCACTAATATTTTGGATTATTTCTAGCTTGTCAAAATCAAATCATCAATCACTTTTTATTTAAACCCAGGTGTCATCCACATACCCTAAACAAAGACTTGCTGGTGTTCCAGGGTAGGATAACAGAGGACTCTTCTCTGCTTCTTCCATGTGCAAGTTGTACACACTGGGTCAACTGGGGAACCCATGGTGCACCCATGTTTCTGCCTGTAGTGCTAACCATGGTATGTGAAATAGGTGGAATGAAGACACAGATCCAAGAGCAAACACACTTGGTCAGTGCTGAGAGTGGTCCTGTTGCTGAGGTGGGGATCATCCTGTCATCTCTTACGCACTACCTCCACTCCTTCAGTGACTGGAACACAAGTGAAGAGAGATGTAACATCATACAAGCCCATGAGAGTACATCTTTCACCATCTTACAATGCTGTCATTGCAGCCATTCCCCAACTCTCATTGATCAATTGCCAGTGATCAATGGTCTTTAATCAGTGGTTGTTGACGAATGGTCGTGACAATTTGCATATTAATGATCAAGAAACTGACCTCACAGCCCATTGTTCATCAGCGGTGCTAGATTCAGTCATTATGGAAATGTATAAGGTTGAGGAAACCTGCAGTGAGCTGAGACTGAAGAAGTCACTTGGATGAGTGACGAAACATTTCTCCCACTGAAAGCGCTACGTCCAGATGAACAGAATCAACTTTTGGGGATTTACTTACCTGGATGATTGAGTATGCACCAAGATATGATCTCAAATGGGTGTAAAAAAACATCCCCTGTCATCTTAGATGGGTTTTAATAAGTTCTTGCATCTAATGCCTAAACTAAAAAAAAACACCTTTTTAATCTCTGCTCAGGGATCATTGTCAAATTACTCGTAGAATGTCCACCAAATGTATATTTTATGAATACGTTGGAGAAAGGCATTTGTGGTTTTCAAGTCATACTTTAAATGCTAAAGACATAAAACCTTGTGGGTGAATCCCAAATATTGTGAGTCCACTGTATTCATGCTTACAAAAGGAGGTTTTCTTATCGGCCTAACTGCAAAGACACTTGTCGGCACATCTTTGCAAGTAAGTGGATAAGGAAAGCATAAATGTGTGAAACCCAGCTGTTTGTGTAGTTGTATTGTGTTTTATTTTGTAATGTTGTTTAGTGGTATCGTGACATTGTTCTCAATCCAGAGAATAAATGGTCCCAGAACTGATGGGGAAAAAATGTAAAAAAAAAACCAAAACAAAAAACAGGTAGGTAAATTATTCTCCTATTGCTTAAAAGAAGGATAAGTGTATTCAGGTTAATCAATAACTAAATGATTAAGTCTTTGATTTATTTAGCATGCAGATTCAGCTATCATAAACCCACAGAATTTATTAAAATTGCACAAAAAATGTATTATCTATGTTGAATCGAAACGAATGGAAAAAAAAGCATATCCGCAACTTTGCTTGTGTCTGTTTTTCAGTGATAAGGCATGAAATAAAAATTAGTGGGCAAGTAAAAAATGTAATATTGTGTTGAATTCCGTCTGGAAGACTGTCATTGTCATTCTACTTTCTGAGAATTTCTTTGTGAAAAGTTTCTGATCCAAGAAATAGTCAATACACTTTCTGTCTACATCACACAGAAGACTTTGTGTTAAATCCTGAGAAATGTCTCTCTATCAGTATGTAAAGAATATGCAGCACTGGTAGGTGTGTCTCAGCACAACCTTGAGATATAAAAGAAGGAAACTGCTTAAACACTTGCGACATGTGCACAATACTCTTCTGTTAGGAAATATCATTAGTAGCATCTACATTCAGTTATGAAACTTATATGACTTCCCAAGTTGGAATCAACTGACTTGGACTTTTGCCATTCTGAGGCTTCATTGCAGCCTTTTGGAGGGCTGGTTTCACTCTCCTTGGTCAAGCCATGGCCCTTCCCAGTCTGCCCATGTAGGATGTAGGACAAATGAAGGGGAATTAATGGTTTAACCACAATTGCAGTACTCTGGAATTTTTGGAAATTAGTATAGCAGTGTATTGTGGTGCATTTGCAAGTGAACAATAATTTTTCTCGCAGCTGCATTCAGTCCCTGTATTTGTTTGTGCTTGTATGCGGTTGAATGCACGCGGCATAGACACACAATAATGCATTGTATGTAAATTCAAGTAACCCTGCATAGTGTGGGCACATACAAATGACAGACACAATATCTAGGACAGCTACACTGGAATTCAGAACACAGACTCAAATGAACTACGACCTCAAATATTATCATAAAGTGTAGATATTGCAAAATTGATCGAGTATTTCTCAGTCAGCCTCTGTGAGGCAGAGGGGTTCAACCTGAGGTTCATGCAGAACATCGCAGTTTTTCTCACAATGATCAAGTTAAATGCAAAGCGGTTGGGTTGCATTGTATACAGATGTTCTCGATATTACGTGTACTCTCTGCAGGTGTAAACACAATTACAAACACACTCGCTCCCCCTACCTGTCCCTCCAAATATAGCACAAATCAATTAGAATCCACTTGAGAAATTAATTACCTTCTGTTTGCTTCCCTCCACTAAGCTTTTCATCAAGCATCACTGGGAGAGAGCAGGAGGTGAACCGGATCATATGATGACAGCATAGCAACATAGACATTATGGTCTGCCAGAACTGTGCTTTGTTTTGGATTGCCATTTTGACTTCACACAGGGACGTCTGCGCTCCCCATTGTTTACAACATTCAAAATTGGTGATCTGGCAGCTGTATGATATTCGTGGCACTTTTCATGTATGAAAACCAGGCATTATCTCGGCTTTTGGTTTACACTGCATCTCTCCGCTCCCTCCCTCTACTCTGTAATCACTGGCTTTTCAGTTGAAACAATTATAAACACACATCATTGAGCGTCATTGCATAATGTCGTTGGACATCGCGTCACAAGAAGAGACCATAACCCAACCCTTAATCTCTAAGCGTGTTGAAATCTTATGATTTCTTATGTTCCTCTGTGCCTGCGAGTAAGAACTGCGGCACTCATCTTCTGTTTTGGTGGCTCAGTGACTAATGCCTCGGCCTTATCTTTTCCTCTTTCAGTGCTTCGATGTGTCATACAATGTTCCTACCTTCTTAAAAGATCACATTATATCTGGAATGTAGTTTGATTTTTACCTCCACCTACATAAATGACTATACTTGTTGCTTTATGATGGTGGTATGTCCAATTATGGATTAATAAGAATAATGTAACATCAGAGGCTTTGATTAAATTACACTCAGTCCCCTGTCAGCGACTTTGTCACAGGGCTATCTATCCAAAGTCTCCTTTAATCTGATTGCTTCATGTGGATCACAAGTGGATTTTCGTTACTCTCTCAGCCCCCACTTTTCATGTTTTATTAATGTCATATGCTGTCGAGTTGGGTTCTCCTAACTGACTTACCAAGTCATCCTTTTCCTTGTCACAAATCAAATTAGCCCAGGCTGTGATTAATCATCAGGCAGAGCACCCAGTGAAAGGGGGCTGACACCTTATTAATTTCCTTAATTACATCTTGTATTAGGTTTCAGAATCGTCCCGTCTAATTATGCCGCCTTTGACTCCCAAGTCTTTCAACCTGGCTACACAAATAATTTGTGCAACCAGGGGTATTTAAATGGATTTCATTTAATGTAGGCACATGTGATTAATGTAATAAAGATGGGGACAGGAGCGAGTTGTTGAGGTGGAAGATGGTGGAAAATTTGGAAAGGTAGGTTACACGTAAAATGGGCGTTATATCATCTTGTGAAGTTTGAGTTATATTTCCAGTAATCAGTCTTCACTGTAACACTGATTTCATTGCTTTATTAAAGTGAATAAATCGCTGTAATATCGCTGGAAGGTTGTTGTTAAGATAGATTTGAATGTATATAAAAGAAACTATTATGATCTGTTTAAGCTCACATGTTATGTTACATGTTATTGGCTCCACAAGTGACAAAACACGTTTTTAAAAGCTATAATTTCCTTCAGATGTAATCTGGAAAATACTGGTATATTGCTATTTAGGATGCAGTAAAACAAATATCTGTCTGATGCAGCAGAGAGCTGTGCTTTCGGGTAGCGGAAAATTATGAATCAGCTAAATGATCAACGCATTTTATATGAGCTCATGGATAGGCTTGCAGAGCTTTGCTGCCACTGTCATTATTTGTGTTTAGAAGGCAATTCTGGAGGTGCTGAAATGAAAAAAAGAGATTATGTGCCTGAGTGCACGCACTCTGCCTATGAATCATAGGAGAAGGACTGTGCTGTTTAATCGATGACACATTCCAGGCATTCATTTACTAAGTTGTTCATATGGGGAACGACTTTAAGTAGTTTTGCTCTGAGCACTTCAGGAAAATGCACTGCCAGTGTTACACGAAATGAGAGCAGTGGCAGGGGACAATCCTGTAACAGCCTACAGCAGACTGCACCGGGAGATCACAGCTTCTCTCTAGCTGAACCTTATGCACTAATGGTTCGCCGCACTCAAAAAACCCAGCTTTATTTAAAACACACATAACGGCTGATGTCATTTTTATTTTATTTTGGCTTTAAGAAAATATAAAAACTGCACAGTAGATTAGACAAGGCAGTTTCACAGCACTGGTCGAGTGTGCACTGAATGTCTCTTGATTAGGATATACGATGAACACCCCCCCAAAAAACCCCTTCCTTCATATTTCAGCAGCTCTATTGACTTTGTCAGTTTGCATTATGAAAGCATTGTGTCACCTACAGGTATTATGTATACACAGGCCTATTTGTCTTCTATCTACTGTCTGCCAGGGAAGACAGACCGAGAGTTAACTTTGCGACAGCTCCCAGAAAAGCTAATACAGAATAAAGATATGAAGAAGCTGTTGTAGGGATGGTGTGGTGTATAATATCAGCTGACATGTAACTAACTGTGAATGTGAAAGTGGTTGCAGCTCACTTAGATTATGAAACTATATGAGATAAAAACAAGATGTCTTAGTAGACGGCACAGAGCCAGAGGGCCACGAGCAGTTTCTAGCTAATAGATCCACGAGGGACAAGAAGCGAACAGGGCACTCGTTGGATGTTATGCATTGTGGCCACGTTAAGTTTGTCTGATTTTCTGTAGCTGTCGTGGTTGTGGTCAGTGGATTGCATTTATATAGCATATTTCTGGTGTTTTTCTTACTGCTCAAAGTACTTTAGGCTGCAAGCCCCAATCACATAGCACTATAAATCTTTAACCACTTTGTATATCTCACATTTACACCTACAGGCAATTTAGAATCACCAATTAACGCAATGCTCTTCCGACTGTAGGAGAACACTGGATCACCCAAAGGAAACCCACACAAGTACAGGGAAAGCATGCAAACTCCACACAGAATTGCCCCAAGAAGGTTCAAATCAAGAAGCGACAGTGCTAACTACTACACCACCCTGCTGTAAAATACCATAAAGGCAAGCCATATAGAGACGTAGATCTTCCAAAATGCTATGCTATTTCATATGAAACATACAAATATGAGAGTCTATTGCCTAATTTATAGGCTAATTCCAATAACTTCCTTTTAAACCTGTAAATATGTAGTTGGAAGCATTGGGTCACACACTGAGATGTTAAAGCTCAGTTGTATCACAACCATGTTTGTGTACAGCCAACACGTTTGACCATCTATATCCAGTCACTGATGCAGTCTGACCAATAACAAGTATTGTGCCGATGGCACAAGCAGCAGTGTCTCACTTCCAGTGTGGATCAATGGCCGCCGCCTTGAGGTGCAGACACCATTCTATTTGGGATGATAGCTTGGGGGGAAAAAATCAAGGTGGGAAAGGTAACACAAAATAGAAAATACCCTGGCTAGTCATACCCAGGCACTGTCGTGGGAATAACATCTAAATTGATTTCTGCATCATGCTCATCTTAAAATTCCAATCTAGCAGCGATGTTTGCAATACTGGCTGCTTAGGTAAAGGCATGTGTTCAGCCCCTTTGTGTACTTGTGTGTGTATATGTCAGTTGCCAGGTTAAGGCGATTTTCTGAAGAATGTATGCCACTATAAGGTATGCTTTTATGGCCCAGATAGCACATCATTCACATTCAATTATTAAACAAGATTTCCACACTGGACTACTGGTTGCAATCGTTTTTTAAAGGTATGCCTGTTTGTGTTCTCGGCACTGTATTCAGTCTGAGTTTAGCACCGACGTACTTCATCTGCCGAGGGGAAATGATCGTGTTGAATCTGAATGAGGCATCGTTGGCCCTCCGGGGTGGCTCCGTCTCCTTGTGGCCTAAAGACTGTGTCCTTCACAATCCCTGCTTGCCCTTGTGCCTCTAATTTGCATACCAGAGAAAGAGGCAGCTCATTGGCTGAGAGTGGAATTGGGGAAAGTGGTTCCATCCTGCAGCCATCAGAAAATCACCTTTACCATTAACCCAGACTAAAGACTCTGCTGAGACTGTGCTATATAACCGCTCAGCTTGTACCTGACACAGGAGAGAATAGCAACAATTCACTTTCTGTCTAGTCAGTCCATGGATTTTTATGTGTTATTGTGGATTTTACATACTTGGTGTTCTGCGTCATGCTGTAATCACAAGGATTCACTTTCAAATTCAGAAAAGAGGAACTTTTTGTGAGACGGCCTTGAGGCATGATATAATGTGGAAGAGACAGATCAGAGAATGAATATGAATTGTAGCAATTTATTTGTGAAAATGTTTTAAATTTATTAGATTATGGCTTAATCGAATTTTAGGATTTCTATTATTCGTGAAAGCCTGTGTGAGGACAGAGCAAGGACTAAACATGTATTTGGCATTTGGCCTTGGTGTATTACTAGCCTAACGCTAGTCTACAACAGTAGAACTGTTAGTAATTTCCAGTTTAAGATTCAGTTTGATCATCCAACGGTACTATTTGTTCAAATTGAACCCACATTTACAGGATAAACCCAATTGATTAGGAAACTCAGGTAACTTAATGGAGAACGAGAAAAACGTAAATTGCATGAACTCGATGACATGGCAAAACTTTTCAGGCAGTGTGTGGGCAAGACAAATGCTCTAGTTTGCCTTTCCATCATCCAAACTTTAGATAAGTTCACTGCAGATATTGTGTGTGTGGGCAGGTTTGGACTGACGGCACAGTGCTTTGTCTCTGGCAGGCAGCCTGGGGGCCAGGCCAGTTGTGAACTGTCTATACAATTGTGGACAAACAACATGAAATTGTATCTGACCTCTCCTTAAAAATGCCAAGGTACAATCTTCTCTGCAATCAAAGCAGCATCTGTCTGTCTATCTAGCAGATAGACAGACAGATAGATAGATCTCTGATATGTATGTCTTTATTTCTTTACTGTATGATGTAATTGAAGCCAACACCAGAAAATAGCTGTGTCGTGTTTACTGGTCTGAATTATAGTACTCTGTGGTGCACTGGACATTTTATGAAAAAAATAATGCAATAAAAAAACCCCCCACAAATTCAACACAAACAAACAGCCTTTTCAACCTGTGAGATGTGCTGTGTGTCCTCATCCTGCATTGTGTCCTGCATGAAAACATTATTTTGCATTTTATAATCATTAAATTTTGAATACTGTGAGATGTGCAAGCTAAACTCATGTGACGTATTCATGTACTCTGCGGCTCGGAACAAGAAGTTAACTCCTCACTCCTTCCAGTTCGGCTCTTGGTCATTTATTCAGAAGTGGCAAACAATTGAGAAACTGTGTGTTTACAGCTGTCCCGCTGTGTGGATTCAGCACTATGAAAAATGCTCTCTGTTTAATGGGAAAGTGTGAACTGTGAAATCTCCCAGGGAGGCTGCTCTGTGACGACATCGGCGCCCCTTGTGGGACATGAAATGTCATCCTCAACGCTCGGCCATTCAGCATGTGCAGCATGATGGATTTTAGTTTGCTGCGTTTTGGGTTGAAATGGGAGAGGAAATAAGGTGAAGAAGTGTAAAGGAGCACGGAAATAAATTATCATTATGGCAGCCGCTGACAATCATAGACAGGCTAGTCATTTGGCTGACAAGGGTATTGGTGGTTGGTGGGTACGGTTAAGTGTCATGGGACTAGGACAGTGATGTATTGCATACCCATCAGAGTATGTGCTCATTTGTTACAAACAATGGTGTACAGCAGGGGATTGGTGTGTTTCACTTGAAAGTATGCGGTTCACCGTTTTGACTCAGTTTCAGCTTTTGTGTGTGTGTGTGTATCAACTTTGTGTTTTGTCACCACTACAAGTTCTTTTTAAAAAAAGGTGTGATGAACATGTTAGCTGTGACAGTGCTGCCACTGCTCCCATTTGTTGAGTTCAATAATTAAAAGGATTAATTCTACTCTGTCTGATACTGTGCTATTACATTTCATAGAAAATGGGCCACTGGTAATAATGCCCAAAGTTGCAGAAAATAGCTATCATTGAGGGGAAGTTTTAGTGTCATTAATGATTTTCGAACACTCTTAGTTGTCCAGCTCTAGTGAATGATCATTATAAAGCTGATATTCACCGTGACTCATGGCCATAATGACTGTAATTATAGGCCACAAAGCCCCCACAGGTAAGGAGTGTGCCCTTTCCACAAATTATAGGTTGCTATCCAAAATGATTAAAGAATATGAATGTGATAAAGTGCGAAGACAGAAGTGCCGTCAAAGAGGAGTGAGGCTCTTTATGAAAGCTCCTAAAAGCAGCCAAGCATTTACCTTCTATGCAGGGCAAAAGTTTAGGTTTTACTTGAGATACCCTTGGAAGTTACAAGTGCAAGTTTTATAAACAACACTGGCCGACATCCTGCGCGCACATCTCGGCTGCATGAAAAGGGTTGTCCTTGCTGTCAGGCGTTGATTAGCCATCCAGCGTGATGTGGTCATGGCTGTCTCCCTGTCTCAGTGGGAGGTCGGCAGGACTTGATGGATGTCTCTCTTTTGAGATTGTACAGTCCTGTGGCGTGGGAGGAGGACCTGGCCCCGCTTATTTATTCATGCTGGGCTCCTTTCTGCTTTGTCTAAAATGGTGCAGGACCTCCCTCCACAGCACGACTCTATCATTTCTGGATAGAGCTAAGCAGTGCATAAAAGAGAATGAGAAAAGGCAAAAGGAAAAGCACCTCTTCCATTTCTGATCCCCAAGCACCTTTTAAGCAAAAAAAAATCCACTTAGAACTGCATAAGTAGGAAGGGAGAAATCGCTTGATTTCCTACACGAGCACCGAATTTGAGGATAATCTTCACAGTACGTCGTCGCAGGATGTATTTCTCCCAGACTCTGGGTCTAAAATACACACACACAGGGATGTGCGTGTAAAAAAAGACAAACGTTTATGGCAACAAAAAAGCACCCGCAGACAGGTCGTGCATATGCACAAACTCCTCTACTGTTTCATTTTCTTTAGTACAAGCTAAATAAGACTTAAGGACGGCCAATCCCAATAAATAGGAGAAAACAAAGACGGAAATGACCCATTCAGGAGGAGAAAGCAGTCTCTCTCTCTCTCCTTTACTATATTCCCTCATGATTCTGGCAAGACCACTGGGAGATTGATGTCTCTGTCTTTTTCATACCTTCTGTGACTGCTCAGCGAGGCACCGGGCTCCACGAAACTAGCCAAATTCCTAAATGATGAATGTACACTAGTGCATCCACTGGGACAAGAAACGAATCTAATATCTGCCGAGAGAGGAGGTTGATATTGAAAATCATCTGGAATTTTGCCTGGCCTGATATTGGAAATCCTTATTCTAATTGCATGAATGAATTGAATGCTCTGTTTTGATAAATCCACTCTGCCAGCAAGGGAATTGTATAAATGAAGCATCACAGATCCGTTTGTGTTTACCGCATGTGTGTGTGTGTTTGTGAGTGTGTCTGTGCCCGTAAGTCATTTTCATACGCGTCCTGTGCCGTTCTTGATTGCTTGTTTACTCAAGCAAAAACTCTGTTCACAACGTTAACATATAAAATAAATGAAACTCTGACGAGATCTTCCACCCACATATTACAACATATCAAATAGTCGTAAGAGGAACATTTTTCAAAATATCAGTCACCTTATGGAGAAATGGGAGGCAGCATATCAGTATAGAAAACCATTTTTATTTCTCATAAGGCTGTCCTGTAATGTACTTATAGCTACTGGGGGATAACTATGTTTCTCCTTTGTGACTAATACTTTCTCACTGTCACTTTGAATAAATCATCTCTCTGGTGTGTGTAAGAGGAACATCTACATTACAGACACTCTCACCCGTGACCACTCTCCGCTGCAGAAACGTAATTGTCCTATTATGGTCAGAGTTTCTCTGATGTGTCTGAGGGGAAAGGTCACGGGTGGGTGTTGCTGCTTTCTTTAGTGAGGCAGTTCTATACAGTGTTTTCCTCAGCTTTACTGAAACAACAAGCGCTTTCTGGAGTAACCAAACAACATTGCTGAATGACAAAAGTGAGCAGAACTTATTTTTATGATTCCGTTGTGGCTTTTTCCCCCAATGCGAAGCAGTCCTAGACACACCGCACCGTGACGACAGCCTCTGGCTCACGTTCAAGGGTTATTCAGGATTCCAACACGGGCTTGAAATCTGTAAATATATTTTTCAGCTTCTTGGATCTGTCAGCTTAACATGTAATGTATTTATATATGTGTATATATACACAAATTATCTTACATACAAAGAAAAGAAGTGCTCATGAATTTACACTGGGCATGCCCACCAATAAAAGTCAGAATGTTCGTCGTGGAGGATGAGCGTGAGGCCATGGGGTTGACCCTAAAGCCTCTCTGAGAGTCTTCATTAATCGACCTTTCTAGCGGTAACAGCTGACAGTTTCCTCGGTGCAGCCACAACAAAGCGATCAGCCTCAGGTAGTGAGTCAAATACAAATGCTTTCCACACAGAAATAAAAATTTCCCCCAATGTGCCCTCAGTTCCACAGATTCAGGTTCAGGTCTATGAAAGTTTGCCAACAAGTTCACCCTCAGACGGGCGGGGAGAACGTCTTCAAATTATGTTTTAACAACCTCTAAATAGCCCCTGCTAAGCTGCTTTAGTTCTGAATAGGGAAACAGAGTGAGGGAAGAGTAGGTCAGAAACTGGCCACAGCTGTGTGGAAGAGGAGAGTCACCAACATGGAGCTCATTGATCAAACACGGGATTAGTCTGGTTTCAAATCCTTGGCACCACGCGAGCAAAGCTGTTTTATCTGGGTGGATATCCTTTCTATGGTCCCAGGTAATCCAGTCAGTAGCCGTGGATGTAATAGTTTTAGTCCATTCGATGAGAAGAGAAAGGGTACATGAGGGGAAGGAGCCTGGCGCTGAGCCCTGCAATGGGAGCTCTCTGTTAGGTCCTGGGATGAATCTGCAACACAGAGGAAGAAGAGGAGAGGAGAGAAAACACACATATGCTTAGATCGAACAAAGGCATACAAGTGTGTGAGGATTAGACCCCGAGGAATTGCTTCGTTCGCACGTTTAAAACCCCCCCCCCAAAAAACGAGGGGAGTCTTTTGAGCTGTGGAGGCTTTGTACAGCCCCGTCTCACCTCCTGATTTATGCTGTGACAGAAAACGGAAAAACAGACAGCTTATATGCTTGGAAACCACACTGAAGATGGAGGGTTATTTGGCATTTTTATGTGTACCAGGATAAATCAGCAAAATTCTTTGCATAGGAAATCCTGGTGTGTTTCCATGCTGTGCATGTCTGCTTCATGGTATAATTTTTAGCATATTTTTGCCTTTAACATTGAGCAGTTTTGCAGGCCCCCTCACAGCCTGCTGCAGCACCTTCATTTGAACCTTAATAGTCAGCCAGCCAATTTCAAACGACCTGATAAAATAACGTTGGCTTTTCTAAATGGGATTGGGGGCCCCTGCTGTGGAGTCTGAGCTGTCTCACCATGACTCTGGTTCAGGGACTCTTATTCAGCCCCAGTTGCAGATCTGGACACTTTTCAATGCTCCGTTGTACAGCCTTGAGACTGCTATTGAAAGTCCTGCTTTTCAGCATCCTGCTCATCCTGAAGCTCAATAAAAACGGTGCGCACGATGTCTGCAACAGTTACAGTTGTCGACTTCCTTAATCTCTTTTTATTGTCGCAACAAAAGCATGAAAGAGTTTCATCACATTTCTGACTTATGTTACTGCTTTAAGAGTTTACATTAAAGAAACATCATGTTTCTCGCGCACGGCGGTGCCAATTAGAAATCCCATAATCCTCTTCAACAAAGAAACACACTCATGGCATTTCCAGCAGTCTTGGCAGGTGGCAACAAGGTGTATGGATTTAATTATGGAGGGTGCTGTGTTGGACTCTGTAATCTCTAACTCACAGTCAGAGCTCCAGTAACTTGTACATGCCAGTAAGCAAGCCATGTGACTTTATTAGCTCTCCTTCCTCAGTAACAGTAATGTGCACCTATATTCACTCATTCCATTTATGAGGAGGTCTTATGATTAATATCTGAAACCATACGAAAACATGTGCATCTGAAAATATAATGCAGTGCAGCCATAGCACCGACAGACTTGTTATCGACTTGACAGAATAATTGAATGCAGCGGCAAAGTAAGAATTTTAGCAGGCCATTTATTTCATCTTTGAGCCGTAATTCAATTTTGTTGCAAAACACCGATTTGACACCAGTTGTAAATGAACATCAGCTCATTTATGCAATTTTCAAGAGCCAAGAATCATCCATTATTCTGCCTTTCTTCCCAGCAGAGTGGTGGATTTTGTCTTCAGGACATTTAGTATTTAAAAAATATATATTTAAAGATTTTTTTCTGGTTTCTCTGCAACATTTCTGGCAGATACCTTAGTCTGGGGCAGATATAGACAGTTTTTTGTTGACAGTATTTCAAGAAAATCTGTAACGTGTCTTCTATTTAAAGCAAATACCAGATATTAATGCATTATCTGTATAAACTAACAGTAGAAGGAAAATATATTTAAAATGTCAGCTGAACACAGAATTGTTCATTCCAAATAATGTTCATTTTAGCATCTATTTTATCCAGTAGCATTTTAATATTTTGTTTACTTCTTTTATAACTTATATGCTGTCAGTTGCACAATTGTAAACATTTCATGTAAAGAGAATTTTATAGATTTTACTTAAAGATGCAAATACAACTTCTGGAAAAAAGTAGAGTGTGAGTGGTAACAATCACACTGACTTATTTGTGTTTTAGGGATTTTTTTTTTTTAATGCAGTCGTTAAATCGTCTGACAGGAACAGCAGGATTGATGTAGTCACCTTTTTAACTCTTTTGAATGATTCACCGCAGCTGTTATTATGTATGCTTTAAATAGCTACTCGGATTTAATATTTCCTCCTCCGGGTCTCTTTCTCTGTATAGATTCTCAATTTTTCCCAATGATTTTAAACACTTCCCCCCCCCCCTCTGGGCTCATCTGTCCAGCATTTGCATATGTATGATCTACTGTCTGGTGACATATCAAAATTACCTCTGCCAGAACAAAAGCAGTAACAGGTTACACCACTGAGGATCACTTTCGGTCTGAAATGCAATCCACCAGAGGTTTGTTAGCGGGAAGGGTTGTATGCAAATGTCGTCATTTCAACCCACATATGCATGTAAGAGCAACTAAAAGTGTCCTCTGTTCTTTTTTGTCCCCTTCAAGCAAACAGTGCAGCGAGCACAAGTGGAACGCTCAAGGATTTCCTGCCTGTTCCCATCTTTGCTGGCAACTTAGGTGTCTGAATTCTAATTTGCTGGGTGCATTAAATTGCAATTTGCTCAGACTTCAGTTAGTAAAAAGACCCAAGGACAATTGCCTTAACAAAAGGATTTAGTGCAAACACAGCCTACCCTTTCCCCTTTCTTGTTTAGTGCTGAACAAATCAATCATGCTTGCTCAGAAACCACTTGAAATAGCACTAAAGAGGACCCTCTGAAAACAGAAGACTCCAGACAAGAAAATACATCAAGATCCATTTAATGTGACATTGACAATGGATAAAGAAAAGCAAATGAACATAAATTAATCAGCAGCACTTGGAATGAACTCCTTCACCATTACTATGTATAAATATGTCATAAGGATGACAATCTGGGCACTTTTGGGAGTCTGAACCGCATCTGTCAGCTTAGAGTCTCATCCTTTAAACAAAGTGGATATCTCAAACAATGCACTGTTTATGATTAGTTTATAATTTTTCTGTTTGTCATCGTGATGACATTATACAAAGCTGAAGGAGAAAGAAGCGTTGTCAGGCTCAGAGATGGAACGAATCATTCCTGGGTGAAGCTGGACTGTATGCGGCACGGCCGTTTGGAGTTCATTTTGATCAACTTCAGAGCTCGATCTCCCGATTTGACAAATTAGATGGTGAAGCATCTGCTGGCAGGTCACTTTTGCTCTCGGGCTATCTCACAGATGGGCTACATCCTGTCACAGTGTGTTATTTTGCTTGAAAAAGTGCCCTCTGCTCCTTTTAATAAGGGACTTGCGGCACACTGAACAGCAAGTAAATCATGTCAGACTAGCTGGAGATGGAACACACTGAAAAGTGTGAAAGATGGTGCTCCACTTAAATGTAACGGTTTGCACTCACTAATCTGAACACTAGTGGAAATATTGTGTCTTTATACAGTTTAAACAACTTCTGTAGATGAATAAGAAACGTTTGCTGCAGTCTGAAATCACTAGAAAAAGTTCAAATTCATGGGATGCGGGATGACGCTCGTATTAGATATGTATCACATTCTCGCTTTGATAGTGACAACATATTGATATTCACTCTAGTACACTAACAATGAGGTTATTAAATGAATGTAATTTTTTTTCTCGCTATCATCAAACGGGGAGAAGAATGAATAAGAGAAAAGATGCTTCGATTACAGCCTCTCTCATTCTGCCTGTCTCTTTTAAGGTGTGTAATTGTTTGGAGGGAGCAGAAATGGATTGATCTATTTAGCCAGTGGAGCGGGTAATGCAGATCTATGGTGGGCGAGTGTTTTGGAAGGTGCTCCCCAGCCTCGCTCTCACTGTGACTTCCACAAACAATAGGGCCTGCCTTGTCTGCTGATACAGAACAGGCAATGAAGGGCTCCCTCTCTGAAAGACATAAAGAAAGAAAAGAAGAAACATGGGTGTCAGGCACTGGCTTTTTGCTTCTTGCTTCTTACTTTGAATGCCAATTTTTTGTGAACGATGATGATGATGAAGCCTGTCTTTGGCTGTACATGTACGCACGCCTGTCTCATTGTGTTTCACTTGCGCGTTTCAGAACCAAATAAAAACTTCTAGGTGGAACAAAATGACTAGGAAAAAGAAAACACGCCGCTGTGTTGTGAGTTTGGTGGCTTGTAAAGGAACAAATACAAATGAGGCAATTTGGCCTGAGAGGCAGGTGAATGAGGAATGTTGATTAAAAAAGAGAGCAGAGTGCAGGATAAAAGCCCTTTCATGTAGCCTGTGGGCTATGCTGTGTGCTGATAGCTGCTTCAACAAGACCCTCTGAGGGGGATCAGGACATCAAGTGGCCTCTGATAAGAAGCCACACAACGAAAAGAGAAGAGATCTGCCCGCCAGCCTCAGTTGTGCACACATGAGTGTACCCGTACAAACACAGACATATCAAACACATCAAACATGTGCGTGCATACACAACTAGGAGCACACACACATGGAGGAGCAAGTAGCATGTCACAGATTAGTGCCTAATGGGATTGGCAGACCGGTGCAAGGCGCTGTAATCAAACCCACACAGTGGCCGATAGCAAAAAACAGGACATGGAACAAAGGAGGCAATGAAAGGAAGAAGGACAGATCCTGCCATTACACACTGATCACAGACAGCAAGGTTCTGCTAAGAGGCGGACCCGACTCTGTGCGTGTGTGTGTGTGTGTTTCTACAGTGCTCTGTGAATGCGCTGCTATAGCATGCTGTATGCATATGTATGTTAAGCCATCTGCGCACTAAACATTTTACTGATACATGAGCCACAGTTTCTGTAAAAAACTTTGCAGCAACTTGCTTATTATTTATGCGTGCTCTGCCTGCGCTTGGTGATAAATATTTACAGTGGGTGGCGGTGCGATCAGTATTTGTGTCACGCCTGCCTAATCATGCACAGCATGTAAACACACACTTGATTATTTCGCACTGAGTATTTGGGTTAATGGGAAGTCATTGAACATGAGTTGGTCCCACTCCTACTGCCCAACACTCAAATGCATACAGTGATGTGAGAGAGACGTGAAAACATAGAAGGAAAAAAAAAGAGAACAGCTTAAAAAAAGACTAACCTTTACAGAAGCAAGAATGCAGCTCAATTTCTGTTGATGCATCCTCTGCATTTTGCTTCCGGAAGCTAAAAAGGGGAGTATGGCTGGGTGTTCTGCAAAGAGAGGGTCAAGAAAAGAAGGACACGTGTGTATTCGGTAGAAAAGCACCTTCAGGCCTGACCTTTTTACGCTCTTCTCTTAAGATTTTGACATTAGACCAAAACCATGTGACAGTATAGCTTTTCCTTCTTTTGTGCGCAGAAATTAACAAACTCGATTTCTGCATCTCAAGAGAGTAAATAAATAAAATAGGATTCACTGCCTCTACTTTACTGTGCCAAAATCTTGAGCCACCCTGCATTGCTTTATATTTTGTTAGGAAAATAGCTAATAGGTGCAATGATTTATTGAAATCTGCAAACATACATTTAGGACAAAAAAAATGCATTTTTTTTCTATGCAAGTATCCTTTTACTGCTCTGGCAATGTGACTGGGATCATTGTCATGCTCGAAAGTGAAGCTGTAATCAATCAGATGCTTTTCCAGGTATTATTCCAACATAGATCAAAATCTGATGGTAATTTCACTTTTAATAATTCCAACAATCTCCAACACCACTAAACCATGACAGAGCCTCCACCGTGTTTTACAGATGGCTGTGGACCCTCACTGTTGTGCTCATTCCTGATACATACTGATGATAATCTGAACCAAATTTGGATTCAGCACTCCGTAAGACTTTTCAGTTCAGTTCTTGTGCAATTTGGCGTACACCAGCCTCTTCTCCCTGTTTCTCTTCATTAAGATCAGATTATTGACAGCCACACTTCCACTGAGACTGAACATTTCTGATGAAGCTTTAGAGGACAGTAGATCAGCTGAATAGCCAGAGGCATCTCTCAGGTCTTGGCTGGATTTCTTTTCCTATTTCTTAAGGACATTAGATACTGTTCACCTGCTTTTTGGGCCTGTCAGTTCTTTGTTTGTCCTCTACTTGCCTGGTGTCCTAAATTGTTTTAACACAATGCACACCATGTTGACAATAGCACTTTGGGAATGACCTTGTTGGTGCAAAAATATTTTATGCCTGTTAAACCGTGTTATCGTAAGTGTTTTTCATAGTTTTGACTAAAGAATTAGGAAGAAGTCACATGCTTTTGCAAAAGGCTGCTAGTCATAAAGTGTCTAAAGATATGATTTATAATTGGTTCTTTGCTAAGTTGTCTGCAATGTGGCAATATAATAATATAATACAGATGCGGTTCATATAATACTATTTGGCTGATTTATGAGTCAGTGTTAAGCGACTCATCCAAAACACAAAACAGAGAGCGCAGGTATAAGGGCTGGACTGGAGAATTAGTGAAAAAGAAATGTCAGAAAGCCTGCCCAAGACATTTTTAAATACCTGCCTCCTTTGAAGTGAAATACAAAGAAATGACAGGTTGCTCAAGACTTTTGAACAGTACTGTTCATAAGATCATTTTAAATCGACTTTCTTCACATTATGCAGTGGGCTGCATTGATACTTCTAGATGCATTCTAAAGAGTAAACCAAGTACTGCACCTTACCTTGACAAGCTGGCAAGACCCCATTCGATCAACTTCTTTCTGAAAATTTTAAGCCTGCGATGGCTGTGAGGGGCCCCTTTGAAAGCTTTATGTCTATTTGCTGGCACATAAATCTACAGAACAACCTTGGGAAGCCCCATGACGTCTAGCCTTCACTGGCTGTTCCCCGTTTCTCTACTATCACATTAGCCTCTGCTGCTATTCAAAGTCATTGTCACCAAGCACTGGAAGGGAGAAAGGGGGTCAATTAAGTGAATACAAATCAGGTGATCAACTTGTCACAGTGCTGGACTGCTGGCTTCGAGGACTAAACTCTGCATTATTTTTGCATACTGCAATCGAAGTGAGTGCACAAAGCTGAAAAAGCAGTGGAGGAGCAGAGCAGCCATTAACTTTATGTCGTTGACAAGTGTGGCCTGAGGCAGATCCCACCTGTTTGTTTACCACCTGCTTTATATTTATTTTTTTACTACTATGGGCCATTAGATAGGTTGCTTACACTGAACAAAACCAACCTTGTTATAGAGAGGGCACAGCTTTTGGATGAATTTCTTTACAGTGCTATTTCAGCACATTTATATGGGTTTGAAAATCTGCGTTTCAATGTGTGCAGCAGCAGGCAGTTGACAAGTTCAAGAAAAACGATTAAATTTTAAGTTGTCTGGCTATATGCAATGCATTGTGTGGAAACGGTGTAAATGTGCCGTGTCGTATGGTTGGTTAGGTGTGCATTTCTACTCGCAGCACAGAAATGACAAACACATGCGTGTAAAGTATGCGTAGAATAGCTTCTCTATATTATGAGAGTATGTGTGTGCATGCAGATGTAGGCAGCTGAACTTAAGTGTGTGTGATTTCTCACCCTTGTGGTCTTGATTTTGTTCCCAGAGGAGCACATCCATCCAGAGTTGTCAGGCAGAGTCTTACACTCTTCTCCCTCCAGACACGGTTCCATCTCACACCACCATTTCCCAATTACAATGGACGCTGTGAAAGATGAGCACAGACACATAACAAAGCAGCATTAGTTTAGACACATAGTTCCCTGCCCTCCAGCCCTGCATCCACTCATAAACTGGACTTCTCTTCTACTTGAAACATGAAATACAGAAGGAAAAAGAAATAACTAAAATGGGAAAAAGATTTATTTGTGCCTGCATGTGTTTCACTTCAGTACAGCTGTTATTGCTGGTTCCCTCCACTCCTCTGCTCTTTGTTTCACTGTGTGTGTTTCCTCTTCATTGTGTGATCCGTGTGCAAAGTTCCACACACAAAGAACAGAGCGGGACAGACAGTGACTTTAAAGTATAGACAGCCACAGCTGAGGTGGAGAACAGGGAAAAATGCGTGTTTAAATAATAAGTCAAGTGTCAAAATCACAATTGCTGGGATTAAATCTGTAACATATGTACTGTATGTACATATGATTTATCACAAATCCCATTTCACTCCCCTGTGAATGTAATATTATGTTCTCTGTTTGCATTTGTTTCATGTGTCATGTTCAAAGTACGTTACTCATACCTAACTTAGTGGAACCATAGTGGAATTTTCACTAAGAATGAAATGAAGTACTTGAAAAGGCACTGCAGGCTAGTAATGGTAATGACAAGACTTGAAGAAATGGAAGCAGGATGCATTGAAAAGCAACAAATTCAGTTTGTAAAATGTGGGGATAAATCACTGTTTAAAGGACTAATTAAAAAAATTGTGTTATTTTCAAGATTGTGTTTTTCAAATAGGCATGGAAAGCATAAAATGTATAGTAACATACAATTTAAAAACATAAGGATTAGTATTCGAAATGTGGGTGGAATCGCACATGCAGAAAACTCCCACACAAACATATTTGGTGTGCAAATTATCCACACAGGCAGAATTGTGAGCACTTACACAGAAGCAGCCACACATTATATTACGAGCATCTCCAGAGGAACATCCAGCAGTGTCTCTAAATGAATATTTTTCCTCCTCTTTGGCCTCAGAGCAATTGTATTGTTGCTGCATGGGTACTTTAGCTGTTGACAATAATGTCTTATACCAACAGAAATTAATCATTATTTTGTTTTGATATAGCTACATTGCATGAAGGGGAGCAATCTCATTTTTAATCAAAACTAATTGCCTCTCATCAACTGAATTCTTCCTCCAGCTATTTAACAAAAGCAAATATGTTCTCATCTTCACAACAAGATGTCTTTCCCTCCCCTTTTTCCATTCCTCTTTCTCTCTCTCTCTGTCTGTAGGTACATATATGTTTTGTTTTCCCCCAAAGTATATATGGCATGTTAAAGAGCACCATACATGCACTTTCTAACAAGCAAATCTTTTTATGTAGTAATTATGGTAAATGGTAAATGGCCTGTATTTGTATAGCGCTTTACTAGTCCCTAAGGACCCCAAAGTGCTTTACACATCCAGTCATCCACCCATTCACACACACATTCACACAGAGTGTTAAAAAATTACTTTGTTACTTCTTCTAATTAACTTACTTCAGTCCATATGTTTTTATAGTTGCAAACCACCAGCCTCCTGGGTGTTTCATAGCTTCTGCGTCACTGAGCATTATAGTGCTTATACCATTGCTACTTGCCAACAAACTGCCATATGTAAAAATGCCATATGTAATACAACTAAAAATATCAGTTACTCATTTTCAAATATAGCTCATTTTGCTCTACGCTTCCACATTAAAATCCCTCCTGGTTGTCCCAAGTGCAATACACATTAAAAACTGCATAAATGGGTTTTTCACTGAGAAGCTTCATGTCTTTTTTTTGAGCTTGTCGTTGGTGGTTACACAAACAACTCTAGTTCTCGCGAACTTACACTGAGGCTCAGCTATTCCTTCCTTTGCCTACGCTTTGATACATGGATTAATCAGGTTACTAAATGCTAATCTTCACCTTACAACCAATAAGAATTTTAAATGGCCATTATCTAAGGCTGCTAAATTATGGAATTTACTTTTCTTTTATTGAATAATAACAAAATCACAAGTTCTTCGCTTGATCTGATTGATTCAAGTGGGTGTGAATGTATCAAATTGATTTTTAAACATAAAAGAAAATACCAGAACCAGCCCAAGCTGTAGTTTAGATTCAGTTGAGCATACGGGGTAACATCCTTCCCTGTGCATTTTATATAGTTTTGTAGTATTTTTGTCTTCTAAATTTTTAAATTCCACTCTACGTTCCCACTGCAATTTGAGTGGGAACCTCTCTTCAAGTTACTGTAAATCCCAGCACAAATCAAAACCAGTCTTTCAAAGTCAAGCTGTGATTCATTTATTAACCATGAAGTTTGAAAAAAGAAACTTTTTGTTTTTCACACTCCTCCGTTAGAGCCTTCTGACAGAAAAAGTTAAAACTTCAAAGCAGGTTTTCAGATGACAAGTGATCTCTTGTCCCAACAGAATTTTTGCAGCATGCACTGTGCTTTCTTAAATTCACTCTTTAAAGAGCATCTTTCCTTTTATCTTGTTGACGCAAAGAGGACGTGAAGGTCAAATTATTGGGTAAGTACAATGAGTTAAAACTGTATCATTTCATTTTCCAAACCTTGTTTTTTTTTCTGAACCATTTGGAAAATATACTTTTTTTTACCCTCCAGCATGTGTTGCCAAGGTTACAGACTAACCACCAATCAATTGTGAGCAAGAGCAACATGCCGTCTCTACCTGATGGAAGAAGACTGTTAAAGTGCCGTCCCTCACAGCACAGAGTGTGCTACAGTTCAGTGTGAACCAACACACACATACATATACACCAGAGAGAGACTGGACCACTGCTGTTCAGTAAACTCACCATGTTATGTTGTCTCCTCCTTCATTTTTTCCCTCCATGAGCCCCAAGAATACTAAATACAGGAATGAGAGCATCCACTAACCGGCTGTAAATTCTCCCTTTGGCTTCCCCTGTGGCTGTTTACCTTATACACTAATTACATGTTGGTCCACCATAAACTGTGCTTCCTTATCTTGGCTTTCTCCGTGTCTTAAATATTTCCCATGTTTAATTGTGTTCACATTGAGCTGTTTTAGGTGTCAAATCATAAGTATGCAGGAAGCTTTCATTAAGTTGCAAATCAGAACTAGACTTGAGGAGATGTGTTTAATCATTTCTACTGAGTGATGATGATGTGCCGTGGTGTTACCATTCTGCTAGTCCCATCCCGTCACTCCAGAGAGTGAACAGGAAACCAAAAAGTTGTTTTTCAATACCCCAACAACCCAGGAGGATTTATAGCCAACAATGTGAATGCTGAGTTCACTTGAAATTGAAGAACGGTAAAGGAGTGCCTGGCAAAACAAAAATCAATTCCTTTAAAACCAAACCAGGAAGACAAACAAAAAACAGGAAAAGGCAGAAAAAGAAAGATGAATAAAAAGAAGAAAAAACAAGGTGGGAGATTAAAAAGCTGCATCACATGAGAACTGCTTAGCAGTGAATTGACTTTCTTCTAACCCTGAAATGCTTCCACATGAAGTAGATTGTTCATACAGCAGTCTAAAAAAAATGCATTGAATGCAAAAAGTTTGTTTTTCTGTTTTTTATTCATCCCTCAATTTTCCTTTCGTTTAGGGGCAGCTGTAGCTCAGAAGGTCAGTGGCTCGAACCGTGGCTCCTCCAGCGAGGATGTCAAAGTATCCTTGGGCAAGATGAACCCCAAATTGGCCCTGATGCATCTATTGGAGTGTGAGAGGGTGTGTAAATCTTAGACAAAAGCGCTCGAAGGAATAAAATGAAGTGCTATGGGGTGAATGAGGCTTGTGGAAGGCAGCAGTTTGAGCACACAGCTGGAGCAGAAAAACACTATGTGTGTACCAGTCCACTTTATTAACAACTAATGTAAAAATATGCAGTGTTTATAATTAGGGAAGAGCCATAATTCTAGCTGACTGTTCGCACTTGTTACTTGTTGATTATTAATGATTTTTTTTGCTAATTTGTAAATGGTTATTATATTGAAGAACATTTAGTAACACTGATATGAGGCCTCATTTTCAGTACTGTACAAAAGTCTTAAGCTACCCCTCATTTTTTATATTTTGCCAAATTAAAGAACATTTTCAGAAAGAAACTGATTGAATTGCCAGCCGGTCATTGTGAGATGAGGACTTGGTTTACTTTGAAATCCATCTATAAGTTTCAGTTTATCCACCCATCATTTATTTGCCTTTTGGTTTCAAGGAGCCAGACTTTATTGCAATTCTTAAAGTGGTCTTTACTGGGTTTCCTGAAGGGCAAAGGTTTTCTTTTGACATTGGCAGCTTTTTCACTCATTGTACCATTTTTAGAAGATTTTCTTTGCCTGTTTTTTGTTTGCTTGTTAAGTTACTTAACCTTAATCTATGAATCACTCAAGAATAAATAAGGCACCTTGCTCAAGGACTGAATCAGTTTAGTGTGTAACAGACACTTAAATTGTATCTTAGTCACTCTGTTACTTGTCACAAAAACACACAATTTCTTTCCATTCTTTAGTTGAACCTAGGAAAAATGCCAAAGATCAAACAGTTGGACAGGCATAAAATAGTGTTTTTGAAACAACAAGTAGAGGTAAAGAGGTATTAGCTGAAAACCTGGCATATATTGTCATGGTGTGCAGTGGGTTCTTAAAAATCTTTGATGAAAGTTGTAGAGGACGAACAATGACGCAGCAGGACTAAAAATCTACAGTAGAACAATATTAGAAAGTCTGAGAGATGCATCTGACCCTTCAGTTGGTCTACTTACTGTTCAGTTAAGCTTCAGCAGAAATGGTCTCAGCTGAGGGGTTTCTATCAAGAAGCCATTCTTCAGGAAGGGAAACAAGTAGAAAAAGCTGATGTATGTCAAATTACAAAAAAATCTGACTGAAAATCAGTGGCAACAGGTATGACTGAGTGACTAATCAAAATTTGGCATCAATATTTATGGAGGAAGTCAGGAGAGAGTTACAACAGTGAATGTCTACATCCACCTGTAAAACATGCAGTGATG